CTCGTTCCCTCGGGGAACCATGTTTACATACGTAACCTAGAGACGATTTTCTGCTTCTATTTGGCGTTATATTTCTATGCAGAAATTGACTTTGGCATGCAAAAGACTGATAAATTCATAATTAATGGCATGGCTGGTTCAGTCGACAGAAATATGGGACACACAGGCCTATAATAAATGCTGAAATGTTTGCGGGTCAGAATATGGGACACACAGGCCTATAATAACTGCTGAAATGTTTGCGGGTCAGTCTGAGCACAGGCGCCACTGTTGTCATGGTAACAAACGCCATAAACAGCAACCGTTCGCGTGTCAGCTGTTAATGCGCATATCTGATATGAAAAGCATTTAAAGGGCCCTTGGGTTTTGGGGGCCCAAGGCGGTCGCCTACCTTTGCCTAATGGGTAAGTCCGCCCCTGATGGTAATGTACATGACAATGTTAATGCATTTGGTCTTGGTGGAATAGATCTGCTACACTGCTGCTGCTGCTGCTGCTGTAGATTTCCACACATGCCCTCTAGATACACCAAAAACACGAGGGAGCTGCTGACGCTGCTAGCTGCGATGCTTTTACTAACACTCTCCACCCCAGAGGTCAGAGGAACCGGCCCCAGACATAGTGTAGGAACAAAAAACGAGACACTCCTTGTCATGGGGAAGGGGGATGGTTTCTGAAGCAAGCTGCAACTGCTACAGCAGACACTAGTCATATATTTGAATGTTGAGCAGCGAGCTCATTGGCTACCGATACAGGAGAGAACCAATCAGCTGTGCCATGTGATAATGATGTCATTAGGTCAGATTGAGTTAGACCTATCGGACTGCGCCATCTAGAGTTTCATGCCAGAACTCTGTATTTATTTTATGATTCTAACTTCTCACGCTTGAATGGTTAATTGATTTATCACACAGTATCCAATAAAACAAATCACCCACCCATTTTTCAGTCACAACCCACCAGTTAAGAATAACTGATGTAGAACGCAAATATATGTCACTGCTAAATTCCTCATCTGTTGAGAGTGCAATGACTAGATGAAAGAATCTAGATATATATCATGATTATATATTATACATAATCACTGACAATATATCAATATATCATGATTATACATAATCACTGACAATCTTCCATTAAAATCTAATTGATCTTTGTTCTTACAGTATAAAGAAGTAAAGAAGTAACACAGAGTTTAGAATTTATGTTTTCAGGTTGGTGCTAAGGTCATGTTCATTGTGCACATTTTGGAAGGTCTTATGCTTGTTTAATACTGTGATAGTTATTTTGACTCAGCTCTTAGGTAGCTTTATTTATTATTTTCGAAAGCATCGACCACAGTAAGATTTCCCAAATGTACAAGAAAAGAAAACTGGTGCGTGAAATGAAGTGAATCATGTGTTTTTTCTCCACCATGACCTTGTGATGACAGTCTGATGAGAATGTGTTATGCAGATTTCCCAAGGCATATCACAATACAATTCATCCAACCAACCACATCATTCAGCGTTGCACTAATGTAATATATGTTCTATTGACAGGGGTGCACATACGTTTTTCAGCCTGGTTCTCATAAGAGAACCTGGAGATTTGGTTTGGTCCTCACACTGCACATAGTGTAACCCATTAAATACAACTATAAAAAAAAATTATTAATCGTAGTGATAATATTGTTGTACTTTATTTATTTAGTTTTTTTTTTAATAATTAAATAAAGTGTCATAATACTATTATATTTTAAAATAAAATGAGAGTATTAAATACAAATACAACTATTTTATAGTAAACTTAAAAATAAAATGCTAATATTTACTTATTTTTTTAAAGATGAATTTTCATCATTTTCAAACTTAAAATCAGCAGGCTTTTATTTTGGCGGTTTGCCGACAAGTAAGTATATGCGCTTCCGCATTTAGCGATGCCGACTGAAGAACATCAGTGAATGAAATGTCACAGTTTTGCATTGTGCTTTGAAAACGGCAGCAGGTAGCCTAGATTAATTTATCCATTCAGTTTGAATAGAAATCTTATACAGTATTACAGTTTGTCGATCTAAAATGGTAATTGTGCTTTAACAGCTGTCAACCATGTCTGTACGCAAATGCTCTGTCAGAACTTATTTACACAGTGCATTTTTTATTTTGGTGGCGCATGCGCACCTGCTTACCACTTATGTGCACCCCTGTCTATTGTATATTTAATATATGATTTTATTATAATAAATTATACTGAAGACAAATTAGTTTAGAGACATAATTTCTGTTCATCTTTTTAATTCTATTAATAAAAGACTTTACTGATTTTATCTGCATTTTTATTTATTTTTTAATTTTTTATTCATGTTGACCAACAATAGCATTGCGATAAGACGGCCTCCACATCTTGGCTCTGGATCCTTAGATCCTCAGAAATCATTGCGGACAAGCCCTGGCCACGCATCACCCTCACCATGGCAACCACAGTCCTCATCCTGATCATGGCCATCTTCAATATGGTATGTCAACCACAATGATCCAGGAAATGTCATATGAATACCTTTGTGCTTATGGTCATACAAATAAGACACTGAGATGCTCCCTAATTGGATCACACACACATTACATTACAGGACTTGACCACAGTAGTCTGACATGCGTTATTGCAGAATTACTTGGCAGAGATTTGTGTCCATCTGTGCCCTAGCTGCAGAGGGCTGTTTAGCCTCCAGATTTGGCCATTCCACTTGTGGCATATGTCACTGTTTGTAAACAAACATGAAACAAATTTGTCGATTTCAATCTTATATTTTTCTGTCATAAAAAAAAAAATCTAATTAGGATTCTCACCAACCGTGTGAGAATTGTACATACAGTGTACATATAATTTGTGAGTATCGTTCTAAGCTCAGAGCTTCAGAAAGAGTATGGCGCAAATCACAAAATCCTACTGACCTTAATGTATATCGATCACTTCTCTCTTCATTCTCTGCTAATGCCTCCACTGCTAAAAGGACATACTATCACAACAAAATTAACAATTC